AATCATCTTGAATCACCTGCTGGACTTAGTTCAGGATATCCATGGGCAGGTCAAACTGGATGCAACACTTCAGATGTGCCACATAGCGGGGTTTAATGACTTCCCTTTGTCTGTGACTATGATACTGTCAACAGCATGTAATGCACATGTAGCCCTTACCACTATGTAGTGCTGATTCTACTAAAATATTCTTTTGGTTCCAGATAAGACAACATCTAGTTTAAAATGCACAATTTTTTTCCTCTTTGTAAAGACTACAGGAATTACCATCTGGTTGTAAAATGTTTAGGAGTGGAGATCTGACTGTCTATAACAATATATAATGTGATACATAATACTGAGTTTTAAGGCCAGTGAAGAGTTTAACAAAAAAAACTGAAGGATGGCTAAATGATTTAGCTGTTCACACCTGATCAAAACATGTCATAGTTTCATTATTAGAATGAAAATAATGTTAGTTAGAGTGTCACAGAAAAAAAGCTGCTTCTCAGAATGCACAGCAAGATGAGAAAAGCTGCAGAAGAAAGGAGAGACAGTCTTTGACAAGATTCTCTGCAGTTTTCTGTACATTTCAAAGAGGTGGTGGGAAGGGGGAAGGAAGAGGCATGTATTATCAAAGAGAACACAAAACTAAGGAAAAAGAAAATAATTGGAGGATAAAGGACAGCTAAAAACTGGGAGAGAAGACAACAGAGCAGGCTGAAGATTCTTTAGTAAATAAAATACAAATGAAGATTGTTAATGTGAAAATACGTCAGAGAGCAGAAGAGATAGAGGGCTGTTGGTGAGCTAATATGCACATATAAACATTGCCTCATGCACAGAGAGAGAATTGAGCCTTGAAGACAGTTTAAGTTAGGGAGAAAAAAATAAAAAGGAAAATACCTGTCCTTTATCCAAGTTTAAATTAGGAATAGGTGAAACCGATTATAAACCAGTTGGTTTTATGCATTTTTATGCCTCCTCTCATGCCTTTGTCAAAAGCATGACAAAGACAATAAGTACTCTTTGGCTTATAGTATGCCATCATTAAAAGCACCAGATGCAAATTTTGTAGTGACAATGTGGAGAAATTTTTGCAGCAATGGAAGAAAATTATCTAAGCCCTATTTAATGTATTTTCTTATTTATGCTTATATTTATGGTTAGTTGAACCCAGCTGCATATGTCCTATCTCCTTTTGGGTCAAGAATCAGCAGGGAAGAAAAGCCAGGAGTTACTGCTTCACTCTGCCCTCTGGGAAAACGTTTTTATCAAGCTTCCAGATAATGAAGTTGTTTTTATGAACCAAAATCTTGAAGTCTTTTTAGTGATGTGAGAGTTTATAAATTTGAAATAATATTCATGCTGCATTCATCCACTTACAAGTTAATCTACTTGTGTATATTTTTTATTCTTTTTAAAAGAAACAATATTTTGCATGAACTACTTGTATTTAAATTTTTTATATAAAAGTAATAGAACACAATAAAGTAAATATGTCTGTAATCAAAGTATTTTTCATTTCACAGCTTTTAAGTATCTAACAGATGAGTATTATTCAACCTGTAAAGAATACTTGAATTGGCTATCTCTGTTATCCCTTGACTAGTGTTTTTATAACTCTCCAAAACTAGTTTTAACTTACTTTGAATTACCTTAGATTTCTGATATGCCATAGAGTTTCTTAAGATGGAGAGGAAATGTGACTGTTTTCAGAGGAGTGTGTCATTGAATCAAAACTTGACATCCACCTAGGCTAAGAAAACTGTCTGTTTCTTCCCTGGGGAAGTGCTTTGAGAAGGTAACTGTTTTTTATGTAGAGTACACTCCTAAGTTAAGTTTTTTAGTTTAGCGTGCCCCGAGGCAAAACGTTTCAGTATATTTTAGAAGATCCTGCCAATTTAATTAGTCTTATGGGAATAATGCTAAAATTCATTCTTTGTTTCCCTCTTCATACGCTATATGGTGCTTCATCCCTGCACTGTCAATGGCATCTGTTAACTGCATCTTTAAGGGGGACAAAAACTGGCTTAGTGCTGTTCCAAGGAGGAGTGCAAATTGGTCTCTTGTTCCACCAGAGGTGGGGCAGGTAGGATAGTCCTCTGTATGGAAAATCTCTTCCAAGACTGGAGGATTTTTTGTGAAGAATGGGTGAATTCAGTGGAGAGCAGCAAGCGTGTGCATCCTGTCACAGCAGCCAAGGCCATGATTCAGTGGTTGACTTCAAATTCTTTCAAGGCAAGACCAAGGAATGGGGGTTTGCAGTCATTGGGTCTCCATATAGAGTGGTCCCAACAGTCTTTCTGTTCCTAAGAAAGGACTCAGTAACTGAACTGCAGCCTGGAAGACAGACAGTCCTGCCCAGGGAGAGAAAGAGTTGGCGTTAGTGTTGCTGTGATGCTTTTGAGGGGTTGGAGTTACCATGGGGTGCTCCTTTGTATAGCATTTATTCTGCAGACACTCAAGAGGTTGGGCTTTTTGCCTCAGAGAGAAGAAATACTGCTACAGCTGTAATAAAAGCCATTTGGAACTGCACAAGTAAAGCACTGTATGCTTTCTATCTTGCAGCTATATGTTACTTTTATATACCTCTTGTTTTTGTTTAATTCCTATGAAGTGTTTGTGTTGAATGAATAATTAGAACCAGGATTAGTATGCCATCCTTTTGAATAAGCTGTTAGTTTGTTTAGATTTTTTTTTTTTCTACTGAAATCCATTCATATTCTAAGGAACTGAAAGGCAAAGTATTTTAATGGTGTTTTTGCAGAATATTTTCCTGAATGGATGAGGAAATAGTCATTCCAGTTAGCACTATATAAAAAAAGTGAAGGCAGTGCAGTGAGCCTAATTTTCCATTTTTGTCTGTCATAGACGTAAATAATTCAAATATATAAGTATGGAAAGAAGTTAACGGTTCGAAACTGGGGCTGCATGAGTCTCATAGCATAATATTAGTATTTCCTGCATGTTTCAATTTGACATTCTTAAGAAAAAGGTTGGTTTTCCTGAAGTATGAAACATTTAATAGTTAATGCTGTTCTTTACTGGGCTCCTGTGGAAAACTAGAATGTTCATGTGTATGCTTATGTAATTAAGCATCCACTAATTTCTTTCTCTTTGGAAAATACTTCCCCAAATCATCACTCCATATATGAAGATTTAAGATTATATCATCTGTTTGTTTAAGGTAAGCATTAGGACAGGTATTATTATTTTATAATAGAATCTTAATCCCTTGTCTGTGAAGTGTTGATGTTTTCATTAGAGTTAAAATATGTTGCATGTGTACAGAAAGCCTGAAATCTCAGTATGTGGTCCTATCAATTTTAATTATTTGAATCATTAGAACAGCTAATTTTTTGCTTAAGGGTACACCAATGTACCATTGAATCTGTTTTTTAAGGTTTTTTCCAGTTTAATGTCTGAATCCAAATTCATAAAGAGTTGGAAAAATGAGATGTCTGAGCTATAGGATTCACAGGGATTTTATATGAAGCCTATTTAATCAGGATAACACTGTTATTAATATTCATAAAGTCAGCTGGAACACAAATGACAGACTATGGAGCCTAAAATTTTTTACTTGTGAATTTATTAAAAGCAGCTTAAAAAATTAATGGAATTTAAGTAAAGTTGACGAAAATTAAAATCTTATGCTAGCAGAAAAAATCTATATTAGAACTTTGTCCAAGACCATCTTGCATTGATATCTTTGACAGATTTCATTGGTACTTAAAGAAGAAAGATGCATGAATGGTCATTTAAAAGGATTTAAACACATTGGCACATTAATTTTTACATGAATAATAAGTAGTTTCCAAAAGCAATTAACTTACAGTGTACAAGATTTGAATAGAAAAATAGGACTGTGACATCAAAGGGCAAAGCAAATGTGCAGTACATTTTAAACTTTTAATAATAGGACTTCTTAAAATATTTTTTTCTTTTCCACAGAAAGTAAAGTAACGCAAAAGGTATTTGGGTACACCTTGGGTTTGTTTTGAAATTCACCAAGATCTGGAACAAATAAATATTTTTATGCCGAAGTGCTATTGGTAAAGAACAATTTTAAGGCTTTTACATTGATCGGGTGCTTCTGAATCAAGCTCTCCTACAGTTTTTCTGTGTGGAAAAAATATATACTGACCACAGTCTGTGATTTTTCTCCCATATGCAACATTTGGAAGCATTTCTTTTTTTATGTAGATGGCAAAACCGTTAGGTCTGAGAGTTCTTTCATTATTGTACTTAACTATTAATGTTATGTGACCGTTGCATTTTATATTCAACTGATAGAGACATTTTCTTTTGTATTTTCGCTTTCTTTCATGATGTGCTAGTAGTTTTACTAGCACAAGTTGGATAAATAGTGAATAAGGAAATTAGATTTAAATTAGATTTACCTCTAGCGTTTGGGTTATGGTTTCATTTTGTATTTTCAGTTATTTCTCGGTCGGCCAGTACATTTTATTTTAATCTTCAGCTTTAATTTCCTCTCATTATTACATAGATTGATTATTAACAGATTGTCTTACAATGAAAGTAAGGATTTAGAATAATTGTATTTATTTTTTGTGATCATTCCTTGATCGTTAATGGCCGTTAATGGCCACTTCTGATTGCTTTTGAAATGGTGACTTCTAACACTCACCAAATAATGATGGTTCAATAAGTTTTGGTTCTAAAAATACCTTATGTTCAAGGTACCTTCTGTAAAGGTACATCTTCAATGACGAGTAAGTGTTGTGCACAAGTCAGCTACCTATTGCAGCGTTTGTGTTCAGAGAAACCAGTTTAAATACTTAGTGTCTGGAATATTTTGTTGTTCTGTACCCTTTTTTTTTTTTTTTAATTATGAGGAAATGAATTTAGTACACCCCAGAGAGCTCCAAAAATCTTTCTGTTTTACTTTGCTTGATAGTTGACCTTAATCTGATATCAACAATTTTTTTTATTTTCTCTATGTTTAAATGAGAAAATTCCTGTTAGTTAACAGAACCTAATTCACCTATGAAGACACAGTCTGTAAAATGAACCTCTTGGCTTCACTCATAAATTTTTCCTGTGCCATAGTCTATTATTTCCGGGAGAGGGCAGCATTTTCCTATATCAGGTGCAGAAAGGCACATGCCCTGCTTAGACTGTCAATGTTTCTTGTAATTACTCCCAGTATATTTGTTGCTTGCTTATGAATTAACTTGCATTTATGGAACTAAATCATTCCAATCATTTAATTACACCTGAGGAGCTGAACTATAATTGCTTGCTTCCAGCTAGGATCTGATATGGCTTGAGCAGTATTAATTTGGTGTTTACTTTTCTGAGTGCTAAAAGCATTAAAATGATTGTGCAATGGGATTACATTTTACTAATTGCTGGCATTCATTAGCTGGGTAAATGGCGAGGAAGAATGACTGTATATTGTGGAGGGATAAAATTATGGTTTTAAATAGTATATTACTAGACACATTAAGGCCCTAAGACATGTTTTAAAATACTCCAGAGGTTATTAAATACCATATTTTCTTCATGTCTTGCTATATGAATATCTTATTAAAATACTGCAATTATTATGAACCTTTTTGTGCAATATGTAGGGAAATGGCTTCATTGACAGGAACCTATTTCTTGATATTAATAACCCTCTATATTTTCAGCTAATCCAAAAGTAAATGAGGAACTTAGGAAAAGATTGCCAACTTCAAATCAACACAGTTACACAGAATTGAAGAAGCATACAGCTTCATTTGAGGGATTCTTTTAAGGGACTCAGTGTTCTGCGACGTGAGGTGAACTTTTTATTTTTTGTTAAGACCTAAGCACGTCAAATCCTATGCATTTTTCTTATGCAGATTAATAGTCAACAACAAGTATGAGCTAAATATGTATTTCTTGACTATTTGGTGTATGTGATAATGTTGAATCTTAAGTATTTGTACAAATAATTTTTTATGATTTCAAATATAAAAATGAAATAATCTGCTTTTTTGGTGTTGTATGGGAAAATAATTTCTTCTGCTGCTTTATTGTTTAGGATATGTGTCTTGGTATAATTTGCTTGAATTGTAAAATATGTACTTAATTTTATTTTTTTTTTAATCTCTTATGTTTTTCAGCACAATGACAACTCTGAGTGTTTTCATAATCTAGCCACTGTATCTTCAAGGCACATGTAATACATTAATAAATGTAAAAAAAATGCAGCAGGGAAAACATACAAAATAAGCACAACTGCGTTGTTAAGGATTAAATTTGTGCTGTGTACAATACTTTTTAAAAAGGTGCTTGAGTGAGTAATAGAATTTGTGGTAAGCTTACTATGTTACCAAGATTACCAACTATTTTAGATTTTCTTGCAATACTGAGAATAATTTTTTTTAACACATAAGAGAACATACATTTTAACATCCAAAATGATGCCTGGAAAGCATAACATTTTACTGTAGGTCTTATTTAGGTTTACTTCTTGAAGATCTTTAATTATATGAAAAATTGCAACTGTGTAATTAACGATATTCTGAAGCAGTATTCATGCAAGTATTAGGATGCATTATTTAGCTGTTTAGAAAGACCTGCAGATTCAGAGTTGGAGTGGTCATGGGCCACTTTACCTGTATTTTATCTTGTAAATTAAAGCAAGAGAAAGAATGCTAAAGAGTGAAGCACATGCTGCCATCTGTAATAATTGCCAAAGTGAACAGTCTTTTTGTCTCTAGCAGGACTGCTTGCTGTGATTTGGGCTGTGCTCAGTAATGTGTACTTCCAAGACCAGACTCTAGAAGAAAGAAAACCAAACTAATAAATATTTCAACAAAGGCATCACATGCAACAGAAAGCTGAACCAAACAATTATAAAAATTAGATGAGTGAAGAAAAAAATACTTTGCTGAGAAATAAAATTTTTCATTGTGTTAAAGTATGCAGACTTCTTTGTGCTGCTATAAATATTTAAAATAATTTGTTTTGTAAATTTTCTGTCAAATGAAGGCAAAGAATAGGTGTATTATATAGTTTCAAATTTATTTATCTAGAGTTTGTTTTATTTTAGCTCTGAAACCTTCAAGCAAAAACTGGAATCACTGCCAGAGCAAACAAGTTCAGGAGAACAAATGGAGAACTGGTCAAAAGGTAGGGACTTTAAAGATATTAATAAGGAACCTCAGGTGTTGTACCAGTGCTAGGCAGTGACTGGAGTGTGTTTGTTCTTGCTGATATATGACTGACTTTTGAAGAAAGGGAAAAAAACCACAACCACATACTGCCCCTTAAAAGTACTTGGGGTAACAGGAGAGCAGCTAAATGAATATAAAGCTTCACCTTTATTTTCTGGATTATTGAAAGTGTTTTTCTATAACTTTCAGAAGTCTTGTTTAAATTTTTATTCTGTACATTGCACTTTACTTTCCAACTTTTTTTTCTTTTTTTAATTGTTAACAATAAATCTTAGATTGTCTTAAAGTAATTTTCTTGTCTGTTCACTCCTGGCTTGGGTATGATTAAGTCATCTACTAATATTAATGAGTTTCTCATTAGTAGCTCAAGAGAATTTAGGCAGTAAGGTAAGGCTTGGAGGTAAAGGTGACCTTGGTTAACTTGGAGCTTCCCCAGTTGATGGAGTTTTCATCTTCATCAGGATACAAGTATCTTTTTGTATTTTTAGTTGGTTGACCAGACATAATTCTTCTCAGATACATTCTTCTATGTTTCATGACAGAAACCTAAGGGAAAAAAAACCCTACTGAATTTTAGAGTACATTACATGACTGACTGACTTTGTAGAAGAGAATTTTCAGCAGTGGCTTGTGACTAGATTGTGACATGTAGAAGGACAAAAAGGTAAGACATGAAAAAGAGACCTTCACTTTAGGGTGGATTTTTGCTAATAAGTGAGTATGTGTAGCTTAAAAAGTCCAAAACTGAATAGGTGTGTCAACTTCAAAATTTCCCTTTGTATCAGAGCCTCACAGCTTCATGTACATTTCCTTTTTTTAAGTTTTATACTATAGATTCTCTCTCAAAAGATAATAAATATCAAGTTTCTCGTGGAGACTTGTTTAGAAGAAAGAAGAAATGCTTTGTTTTGTAGATGATGCTTTTCTTCAATATGTAAAGGAATTTCTACCTATATTATGCTGTAAAATAAACTACTTTTAACCCCCTTTTAATTTGTGGGATTTTGAGCTGTTATTGAGTGAAGTTCAGAAGTTTTTGAATCATATATACTGATGTAAACAAAAATAATCATGGTGGTGTAAATTAGTGGAGAATTGTATTCTGACAATTTAAACGTGTAATGGCTTAATCAGATTTAGTATTTTTAGACCTTTAGGGGTCAGCATACCCTAAGAATGGTTCAAAAGGTTAAGTTATCCAAAGTAGGCAAATTAAACTGATTCTCTGTGAAATATTTTCTGTCTGATTGCAATAAATTATGTTCTGCTGCTGCTCAGAGATATTTTTAAAACTGAGTAGTTACTAAGCTTCATATATGTTATTTTTCTGATGAATTAAGTCAATATTTTGTGCTGTTTAGACAGCTGTTTCTTTCAGGCTAACACTTACGGATTCATGTATCCAATAGAAGTTATTATACAAACAAAAGTAAAATTTATACACTTTTCTTTAGCATAATCATTAATAAGTCATGTAATTCTTTGCACCTTTAGTCCTAAGAAAGTTAGAAAAAGGGATTATGGGTAAATCTGTCATCATACAGGTGTGGAGGAGGAATTTATTTTTTTTTCTTAGAATTTAATTTGGGTATTAGCTAAATTTCATTCACTTATCATAAAGATAATAGGTCAATTTCAGCAACATAATGTTCAATATGTGCCCTTGGTAGATATTCTAGCATTTTCTCACTGTATTACTTAACCACAGCAACTTTACATTTTCTGTGTAAATGTGTGTGTCGAGGAGTGTACTATTTTGTGTCCTGCTTGCTCTGTCATGTTCATAGCTTTCTTTTGTGCTGTTGGTACTGTACCATATTTAGATGTTCCTTTCTTGTAACTTGGGAGTTTAAAAGCTGGGTTTAGAATAACACTAGAATGATTTATTTAATTTTTTCTTAATAGCATACTGAAATACAAGATTAGAATTAATCTGACTAGATGAAAATTCAGTCAAGCAATGAGAATTTTAAAAAACATTTAAAACAGATATAGAGAAGTGGTAGGTTTATGGCGGTTATGTGGGATAATGTGTAACCTGGTAATAGATGTTATAAAATAAAATACTTGAAAGAAAGGTAGTGTTTAAGAGGAGTGTATCTGAAGTGTTTGATAGGTGAGATATTCTTTTTAACTTTCCGAGTTGTTTGGAGTATAGTATCCCTGTGTGGATTGAAGGCTTTGTCACTTTCCTCTTTCAAGGAAGAATTAAAAAACAGTTTGTGTGCAAGGCTTGTTATTTTGTGTTTGTATCTAGTTTAAATGTACTCTTTCTCTTGATTTTAATAGAAGGTTAATACCTTTTTTCATTTCCCTCTAAGGACACTTGAGAGAATGTACTAGGAACATTGGCAGCAGACCAGTGAGGACTGTGCCACTTAGAAATTAAAAAATATGCAGGACCCAAGCTAGAAAGACTAGAATAGTATTCAATTATAAAAATAAACTTGTATTGGCAAATAGGTGCATATCTTTGCATTGCAGTGATGGTGGGTGTGGGGAAGCACATTGCGTTGGGGTAGAATTGTATTATTTCAGTAGGGTTTCCATGCATGATGTGAACTGTGAAAACATTAATCCTGTGAAAACACAAGAGGAAACCTGAAATTGGGTGGTTTCTCTTCTTTATATACATTTAGGACTTGATATGGCAGTTTTCCACAAGCATTACCAGGATAGGAAAGTGGGAAGTGTGTGAATGCTGGAGTTAAATTTGGGTTTTATTTGACTTATGGACCATGTTTGAATAGGTGCAGCGATACTTCTATATTATAGTCTTTAACTATTGTAATGTTTTTGCTTATGTCATATTTATGAGCATCCATGCTTTAAAGACAAGGCAGAAATTAGGAGAAGTCTTAGAATTTTAAGTAGCGTTTGGTCAGTTTCGGCAACAAATTAGGGTTTCTGCTGCCTCCAGAATTAAAAGCATTGTATAATTTTTATTTGTAAGTTGTAAACCAAGGCAAGTTAATAAATTGGTAACTTTTAATGGCAAAGTTGCTTTCTTAAAAGGTGGTTATTATGTTTTTCAAGCATTGAAATAAACACATATATATTGCTAAGTCATTACTTGAGGCATATATTGCAATGTAAGTCAGTGAACCGATTTCACTTCTCAGAATTTGATGGCAACTTTAGTTATGATCCATATAGACACTTGCCATGTTACTTCAAAAGAATGCTTGCAGGTTGTAAATATACTTTAAAAATGTGTGACAGTAAATTAATTTGGAAGAGAATACCTTTAAAGAGATGTGATAATGTAGATTGGAGCAGAACTGCAGAATCAGCTTTTGCAGGGAAATTTGTAATGGAGGTTTTTTATCTGGTGGGTTTTGGGGTGTTTTACATTCATGGTAATAGAGGAAATGTAGTCATATGCAAAGGTTAAGTAAAATGAGTAAGTAAAAAATCATCTTTTTGTGTAACTTTGACTATCTTATTAGAAGTAGAAAACTCTTCTAGTTGTACAGTGGTTTTAATGTACTTTTTTTCAGATTTGTTTTTGCAATAGTAATTACGAGGACTTTTTTGTCTGGAATTTCTATTGTGTGAGTTTGGCGCACACAAAGATGAATGGGTAAAGAAAGCCTTGAGAGTAATATGGCATTGTAAAGGTTTTTCATCTAATGCTCTAGTTGGGTAAAAAAACAGCTAATGGTAAAGGTGCTGCTGGCCCATTTCTCCAGAATATACCCACTACAGCTGTAAACACTCTCAAGTAAATCTAAAGCCCCTCTTTCAAGGCTGTTGCAGAGGCAGAATTAAGCATACTTGTCATAGTGAAGTCTCTTCTTTTACATGCCTCAACAGGAGATACTGTGAGCCTGTTCTCCGTCTTCTACCATCTTTTAGCAACAAAGTGCTGTTTACTTGGGAAAGAAAGGAGGCCTGGATATTGTAAGGGTGGTTTGTATGCAGAAAAATCTATGTGGTATGCAGAGAGGCAGTGTCCTCTGCACCCATCTGGCTCAGCTGCTCAGTGTCTTCAATGTGTGCTGTGCTTTCAGCATTAGACTCACTTTGTGCTGTGAGATCTCATTGCCAAGTGTAGTTGCAGGTTTCTCTGAATGATGTAAAAGTCTGAAAACAGGCTGAGAGGATGAACTTCTATGAGTAAAACCTAGGAAAAGTGGCTAATAACTGTTGAGCAACACTAAGCATGGAAGATGAAGAAAACCTCTTCCATGGAAGAAGGAATAGTGTGCAGTGACTTAGAAGATAAGAATGAGTTAATGATAAGTGAAAAATCACCCAATACCACTTGGTCTTTCCTGTAAATGCAATCATCCCTTCATGCATACAAGCTCTCATCTCTTCTTTTTCCATTCCATTTCTTTCCTTGTACATTTTGAGTGGTAGAATACAGCACATTTTTAGCCACACTGCATGCAGAAAGACTCCTCATCAGAAGCACAACTGGTTATCCAGTATTTGCCTGACTCACTGCAGTGTTGGGAATATGATTTTTGTTGGATCCTTTATGGTACGCTCAAAACGTGTAGGGCCTTATCTGCACTGAGGGCTGCAAGCACTAAGGATGGGGAGAATGCACACCTTGAAGTATTGCACTTTGAATCTTAAGTGTGTAAAGTATGAGTGCAGCTAACTTCAGAATGTCTTGAAATGTACTTCAGAGAGAACAGCACTTACTACCACAGTAATTTTTAAGTAGTGCTTCAGAAGGAGCTTTAGAAGACCTTGCACAAGTGCAAGAGGAATTTGGCTATTTTCTTCTTTAGAAACTTTCATTGCTTCTATTTTTATAACAGGTAGAATGAGGCTTAAGTTCAGAGCAAAAATATTTTAAAATTATTATAAAAAAGTTCTTCAGGGCATGCATTGCTGACTCTAATTTGTGAGTTCACCTGCATCTTTAGTAGAGTACCACTGGAGTAAAGGGTGTGGGGCCAAGCTCTCTTCTGGTTACTTTAGGCAGAGTGATCTTTCTTT